AAAACGCTCTATTGGGGGGAAGTGGAAAAGTCAACGATGTTCTCAGGGCGATATGAGCAGACCGATAAGTCTTCCCATAACTGATCATTAGGGTCACAGTAATCGGAAGCAAAGAGACCATTGAGACGAGATTGGAATATCACCACAAAGAGTGAAATCCGTAGAATTAGGTCTAATTGCTAAAGGAGAGCATCGGCACAATAGGCATGTACAGGAAGAAAGGGGACATATTAATAAGGATGGATCTTGGCCAACAATGCATTTCAGTTGAGGGTTACAGGACGTTACGTTCGCAGAGCCTAAGTCAGTTAGAGCTCAGAAGTCCGAGGTGGGTCAGAAAGCAGAAGATCGTTCGGTGGAGTCCGGATAAGCCAGCAAGTTGAAGTTAGGCCGCCAACTTAATGTATGAATAATAGTAATAGTAGTAACTATTCGTTCCAGCACTGTCGAAGAACTAGGTGCGTGAATGTTGAAGCGGTAGTTTTCCAGGTTTTGACAGCTCTTTTTATTTCTGGAAATAACTGTGGAATGCTTCTACGTTGTTGGATATACACCGTTTTGCATGGAGAGCGTATATTAGCAAAGAAGTAGAACCGTCCTCTCTTGGCCGCCGTGTATCCGCAGTGCAGATGGGAGACCATCAAGGCCAGGGTATAGTGACAAGGTGTGTAATCTATTACTCGGTTTATAGAAGGTAGGCCGAAGGTGAGAGCTGTCATAGCACCCTAAGCGAAGCGTGATAAGGTAAAACAATATTAGTGATATAGGAAAAAGTTGAGAGCTTGTTCACCTCGCCATTACGTATAACGCATGTTAGGCCTTAGTGCCGGGTAAAAGATAACATAACGCACAGTCGGCCGAGATAATGCAAAGCGGTGATCAAAACGTTTTGGGTGTCTAGCCAGCAGTGTGACAGGGCCTCTATCGCTGGGTAGCTTCGGTGCAAGTGAAATGAAAGCTTGAACTGCGGGTGTTTCACGAGCAAAAGCGGTTGAAGAGGTGAAGCTGGCTTTCATGCTGCTCGTCTGCTAGCTTTACCAATAGTGATTGGCACAGGCATAATTTAGATAAAGCTAAGTATATGTGGCAAAGAAATGATAAGCGGAAAGCTAACTGGATGATTATTGGGCCTATGGCTTTAATAGTGAGGGGTTTATCCACCAGAAGCATATACATATTATGGTGCTGTACGCAAACTATTTTAGTTGGAAACGGCGGAGTACATAGCGAATAGGCAAGTTTAATGAACATCCATCAAGGTAGGTCGACCAGCAACTAATATCTACGCAGGTTCCTAGAAGTACATCTAAAGCTGCTAGTTAGACGCTGTTTTTGACAATTCGATTGCTAAGCTAGTGTATTATGTAAATCAACGGCAACAATAGACAATACCATCCTATACGCTGTCTAGGTCTGGTGGAATGACGTAACTGAGCGCGTTTCAATGTTTATGCACGTAATATTTTTAACGCACCCAGGAATAAAAGATTTGGTAAGTGTTGAACGGTGAAGCTAAAGACAAAGGAAGGACGGCGTAGCTAATAAGTAAGGACTAAAGTTTGCTAGCTCGGATGGATTCGCTATCGCCCTGCGATGTCCTGTTGAGGAAGTCGTACGGACTTACGAAAATGCCAGTGAGTAGGCGAAACAATACTGTTGGTTGATCTGTATGCACATTGAAACAGCGGTCTTTAAAGAAAATAACCCGGAGTGGTGTAGATACCGGTCGGTCTTCCCAACCCTTGGACCAAAGTGTCATTAGGGGAACCGAATCAAGTTAGGTACTAAGAATAAATGGCTAAATGCATTTTGTGTTCATAATTCTAGTCTTAGCATCAGTAAGTTGGGTGCGACTTAGCCGGCTGAGACCTCCAGGGTGTTGTGGTTGCAGTAATGGATAAGGTATAAATCAGGCTGGCCATTGATGAAGACAATTCATGAGAGTTAATCTGCTGATTAGCCTTCTGGGGCTGCTATGGCGGTGGTGTCTACCCTTTCCACAGCACTGTCCTAAGGCAGAACTTACCGTAGGAGTACTCAAGGCAGGTCAAAAGAGGTCAGTGAAGAGGAATCTCCTATTTTAGTAGGACTTCCATCCCTGAAACAGAGAAAATGAGCGCAAAGGCTACCGCTAGTCTATGTTTGGTGTTAAGATGGTAACGCTAATGAATGCGGATGAGTAGTAAGCTCAAGGTGCTTAGATACCCTGCAGCAAATCTAAGGCGTTCTCAAGGTTCGAAATCATGGTATTGCGATTAGCAGATATTAAAGTTGGGTTTTGTTTTGGCAACATATAAGGATCTTTGTATCTTCTTCTTGAATGCCTGTAAGTTTTGGATTTCGCTTAGCCTGGAAGGCAGTTTGTCCCAAAAAATTATGTACATAACGAAGAAGAAACGAGATCCCAGTCTCTACGTCGCATTTAGCGGTGTAATGCAGTGGCTATTGTTAGGCAGCTTAGGTGCCGATGCGCTGCTTAGTTTAAGACTGTTGAGAGTGCTGTGCATATTTTATGAAGTAGCCTATGTACCATGCACAGCTTAAGAATATCGCCTTTTGGAAAAAGGGATGAATTTTAAGTTGTTTGCACTTCGCCGTTAACACAGAGCCCGTTGGGATAAAGTCGACATCTTTGTACAGCACCGCTGAGCTTTTGCAAGCAGAACAGGGTCCAACTTCCTTAGGTTGCTGCATATATCGAAGCACTATTTCGAATGCGGACTGACGCGGCACTTATAAAGCTTTGGCCTTGCACCTGCGGTGTTAATGTAAGGGCCCATGTGGAAAGATAGGCACAATAATCTCGCCAATTGATAAGAAGCTTGCTCTGCAATGTTTGGCCTCTTGGAATAGCGCAAGCAAAATATTTGTTGTCGCATTCTGTTGGGTCGTGCTGCCGGTTAATGTTATGGACCCAGTAGGTTTAGAAATTGTGTGTGTCATAACCCTAGATTTCTAAGCGGAGAAGGATAATTACCAGTGTACGCGCCAGTTTCAAGTGCTTTAAGCTGTTCACAGATGTTATCCATTGAGGATATCTCATTACCAGGGGAAAGAGGTATACAACTTTTACACCCTCAGCGCAGCGGATGGAGCCACCGTGTTGCGTACGCCTGTAGAGGTCATTGGTAAAACGTAAAGTTGGGTAGAGCTGAGATTGCTCCTCGCATCACGCTACTGAAAAGCGGAGTCGGGGTGGATACGGCTTGCTCAATGTAGACAGACTGCGTGCTTCCTGTTAAATAGGGACGCAGCCAGTCTAATAAAATGCCCACCCCGTAAGCGTCTACCTTCTGCATCAGGCGTATGTGCGGTACCCTGTCAAAGGCTTTTTGGGTAGTAAGGTAAAGAATGACAACTGACAGATTAGCGTCAATGGCCTCAATGACTAAGTTGAGGAAACATAGCTGGCAGTTTGCACAAGACAGAGTACCCAGGAATCCGTGCTGTGATTCATTTTTGTGCTGGCCTGCATTAAAATAACTTATGTGGGATATTTTAACCAACTTCTACCTCCTTTAAGCGATAACAGAAGTGTTGGTAATTGGGCGACAGTTTCCAACTTCTTGTAGACTTCCTCCTATTTACTGTGACACAATGCTGGAATGTTTCCAAGCCGTCAACTGTGGACCTATCTGCATTCACAAAGTAAAAGTTCAACAGCAGCATAGGGAGATATTCGCCACCAAGCTTATTTAGAATGAACCGTATTCTGTGCTGGACCAGGGTTCTAGAATGACCTGCCGGTTGAATTCGTAGATCGGCTACTACTTATGTTAAACTGTCTTAAAGCCAAAAACTGGCTACCAGGTACTTGTAGCGATTGAGAGGTTAAACCTCTTTCTAGACACTGCGATTCTTTTAATTGTGAACTGAAGACCCGTATAATTCTTGTGTCACCGGACACAAGGCACAGGTACCTGTGCCCATTATTATTTAACCTTGAAGAATTGCGGTACATTTAGTGCATGCACGAGCAAATCTGTGTTTGAATCCAATGATGTCATAGAACTTCAACTGACCTTCGATTTTTTCAAATCTTGGACATAACCTTATTAGCGTGTGTGAATAACCGCTAAGGCGCAATTTGGATTTCGCAGACTAGACAAAGCCCATCATGTTTCTTAATCGCACACACTAGGAAGAAGTTCTTTTCTTTATTACTGGGTTTAGGCGATGGACTAATATTGTGTTTTACGGATGTTTCTGTAACAGCTTTATTTTGTAGGAGGAAACTTAGCTACATGTTAAATGGCAAAACTACTTGGGGATTATGAAAATAGTACATAAGTAGTAGCAATGCTAGATATCCATTAATAGTACTACTGCTATTATAATAATCCTTAACTTCAAATGAGTTGAACAATGCTGGTTGAAGTATACGAAAAACATTGTATTAATTCCACCCTTTGTTGTACACCTACTAGTATCTCGCACTCAGAATTCCACTTTTCTTACCGGGGTTTCAATCTTTTACCGTTTTTCTATATTGGTCACTATGGCCTACTACCAATAAAGCTCCATTTTATTATGCTTTGTTAGTAGGTATCAGATATCTTTTAGCGTGAGCACCGCTTACAATGAAGCCTAAGTAGACTCGCAATTACAACTATAATAGATGCGTGTACAACTGAATCTATTCATATATACACACTATATTGTAATTTGGCTCCTTTTTATGAAACGGCTTCTGCATACAAACGTGCAGGTTAACGTACCATTGGGCTCGTTAGTTTAGGTGGCCTATTGTGCTACCTTTTGTTTTTGCTCTTGTATGATATACCGCGCTTGTAGTTATTTTTGCCCTTTTTGGTCATTGCTTAGTAGTATTCGATTGATGAAATGTGGGTTTGGATTGTTGCCGTTGCGTTTGTTATTGCTACTGATACTTCATGTATTTACGTGCTTAACAATTTGTGAAAGAAAATTACTTGTGTAATATATAGAACTGATGGTCCAGGATCATCAACAGAGCGAAATATTCTTCAGGTTCCTTGATTGCAATGGCAACAGTACCGAAGGCAGAATACAAGCATTCCTACTCTGATTGGTTCACCAACATTCATGCTCAAAGTAGAGCTGCTTCAGATGCCCGGTTGGCATCATTCAACCTGATGGAGAAAGACAAAGCCATGCGAATTGAAACAGACATAAAGACAAGGTAATTGGTAGCTGTTTCCATTTCTCAAAGTCGGTGGGTGTTGATGGATGGACTCGAGGCGTTTCCAAGTTTGAAGTCTCATAAAAACGCTAAATATTACAACATTTTGTCAGACTATACAAGTGTAGCGACCTAGAGATTTCCCCGTATGATTGTGTAAATTATTCCAAATTATAGTAAAGTTACGCTCAGCTATAACTTCGATAGCTAGCTCTTCACTGATGTCCTACTTTTAGCATAAGCTAGCTCTGCTTCCGTTCAATAAAACCTTATCCTTGCTTATTTTCGTGTGTTCTCACGTGCGCACTCGCTTGGTCGTTAAGCCAAGAAACTGATATATATATATATATATATATATATATATATATATATATAACGCAGTATCGACGCGCTATAAAAGCCAATAAAGTCAGAACAGCTTTCAAGTAACACTGCGAAAATTAGCTAATAATTTTGTGAAATTATATATCCCATTGCTTTTCAGTCTTTCGTAAAACTTTATGCTCTGCATTGTCATTGTATTTTCCTACTCCTAGTTATTTGTGCATGTAAACGAAAGCCCGAACAAACTCCATTAGAAGATAACAAGTTATCAGAAATGAAAATAAAAAGTAATTGCTAAAGAAAGGAGTATGTTTACTAGAGCAGCAAATGAAGATGTGCTCGAAAATTCAGAAAAATATTGTTCTTATCTCAGTTCTCACTAAATCGACAAACCTACCTATATTTCATGGTGTCCAGCGTGTGCTGGTAATTAAATTAAATTTGTTTCAGCTAACAAAATATATCAACAGACCTACTGACAATATAGCTAGCCTAAGATAAGGAATTATAGCCGGTGCTCAGATTGCGATTTCCAAGGGCAAATCAATGAAGATAAGCTTTCACTTGATGCAGTAAAATGTTCCGTGTTGTACGAGTTATTAAGAAGCGGGGTACAGTAAGCACTGCGAAAGCGTGATGCAGACCAACGCAGACGCCAGGCAAGTGGCGTTGCTCCATCCAGACAACCGCACTCTACATACAGTTCAAGGTTCAGCGCTGACCCCAAAAGTATACAAGAAAGTAATAGTTTCAGTTGGCATTATTCATAGGGGACTAAAACCAACCGGTGTATTATTCACTTTTACACAGCGGTGGGTGATGGATGCTTGAAACATGGCTACTGATTACTTTTTAACTAACCATAACATTAAAAGCGCACTTGTTACGCTATAAAAGTTACTTTACCTCTCTTCCTTTGACGTCCTCATGTACTGCTGCATGAGTTGCTAAAATTTTGGGAATGACAATCACATTCACTAAAAATTTCAACCAACTTCTGTTGCAATCACAGTTAAATCTTCAGCGGAGTGGGGTGCTTACACAGCTCAAAGTGTATTATTATACGTATCATAACCCTCTTTGCACTAACAACTACCGTTACCTATACCTGGAAGCCACGCCGTCACGTTTACCGGTTTGGCTTACTTTAAGTTTCACTAATAATACAACGGTTCTATCACGGATATAAAAGCAAACGCTTAAGTTCTACGTAAGTAAATGATGAGAACAAAAGTGGATGTGTCAAGATAAAAACGCATAGCGTGAAGATACCGCAAATTGCAAGTGTACACCTTGTTTAGGTACGTTGTGGTGTATCCAACTAACTTGGTTTAAATCATCTAATGCCGGTGGTGTAATGCATTATAAGGTCGAGTTTTGAATCCAGACAAGGTTAGAGCACATATAACCAACTGCAAAAATAAGTTCCTTAGTTGAGATGCACGAAATGAGAAATAAGTTCAGTGGTATTCCAACCGCTTTTACTCTGTCGCCAACTTCGACTGGGGGCCTCTCAGCTTGGTACTGTGGCTGCGTTTCAATAAGGGTTGGCAGAACTCGTGAGCATCCTCAAAGATTCGATGCACACATGTGTGCTTAGCTTGAAGAAGACGATGTTATTCACTAAAACCTAGACTTTGTTCTCAACTGGTAAAGAAGGTGAAAAAATCCCTAAACAATTTTTGTCGCCCACCGTTTTGGTTTCTCAAGCACACTGAGGTCGTGTATTTGCCAGCAGGGTTACACATGAATAGCGTACTCAAAGTGTGTTTCTATGTACGCATTGAGAATTTTCGAAAACTACCTACGATAAAACTGACCCAGTGCTATTCGTATTTGGCCGAAGCGTCGGCTGACCTTTTTCAACTGCCGTCTTAGCATGCTTTGGACATCCAAGACGTTCTGTTTGAGCACCCTAAGATCGTCTTTATAAGAAGCAGAATGCAGAACCTTTTCTCGCAGTCCATATTGGTAGGTGCTGTGTTGGTGGATGCTCATTATTTAGCAACAGATAGGGGTACACAAGCATATTTTGGGTCAACCACCCATAAACACTCTCTAAGTCATCTTGTAATGCTATGTACTTGTCTACTTACCTGATTACCCGCCAAATCTTAAGGTCTTTTGTACATAGTTTAATGTTAAACGTCATCTCTCATTTCAAGTGGTTTATGAGCACGACAGAAACCTCCGGTCCTAGTACCGAGGCTTGAGGGAGGCCACAATGAATCACTAACTTGTCCGACAGGATGTTATGAATCCGAACATTCTAGTGTTGTTGAAGTGAAAACGATTGAATCCAACCCAGAATAGTGTCATCAGTCCTGTAGCACTTTAGCTTTTAAAGAAGTATCCGGTCACAAGGGCGAGCAAATGCCTTTGATAAAGCATCTTAAGCGGCGTAGATGTATTTCATGTAGCTAAGATAAGCTAAAGAAAAATTCGTAATACACGAGCGGATTTGTTGACATCCATGATTTTCTTGTACGATGTTATGGCACCCTCCTAACTAGCCCATAAAAGCAATGATATTTGGCCTAACCATAGCAGGTACTGGATGTGTGTAATCGGGCAGGCGTCTGTATCATTACATGATTGCGTCCTTCTGAACTGGGTGTCTATTTTACGCTTCCACCTTTGGAATATGCAAATTCTTGAGATAGTGCTGGAAAAGCTGTGATAATTGTTCAGCTATGCTCATGGCAGCTGCCATCAACGACCTGGGCCTATGCTGTCCGGATCAAGTGAACTGTACTTACGTAGTAACAGTCTTTTCAGAGCACCGGCAGCTGGGAAGGAGATGTGGCTAAATCCTGGTAGTGATGTGTTATGTAGGAGAATAATACGCGACGGCGTTGCGCTTTAGAAAGTACAAGCGTACTGATATCTGAGGGCATCAGCAACATCTTGGGTAGTATTCGCTTGCAAACAGATGGCGTTTAGCAGAGTGATAGCACGCCATACGTTGCGAAGTTCGTTAACATGCAAGTAAATAGCTTGGGATTAATAACTTATTTCCATAGATTAAGAAGTCAGCAATTGCTTGTGAAGAGTATTCTTTTCGATAAGTTAATGCAGACTCCTACAAGTGTAAAAGTGAGCGTTATTTGAATAGACTCGTAAAAGCAAAAACAGTGCATTAGACAGCTAAGCATAAAAGTCTTATAAAGCATCAAACAATGCTTTGTACAATTGGGCTAGGCTACATACAAAAACACACGTGCCCATGGCTGGTTGCATCTGTGATGTGCAGTTTTGTTTGATAGGACCTACTACAATCAGATTGATGGAATTACCATGGATCCTTCGCTGGGATCTTCCTTGTATAATTCAAAATTGTACCCCTGAGTCACCTTATTGCTTCACTCGATTCATACCACCGTTACATGGATGACACATTCCCTGTCTCTAACTCATGCATTCACTGCGTCAGTTTACAAGATCAATTTAACCACTTGCATCCCACATTGAAATATACCAGTGAAGTTGAAAGAAAGACAGTTGGCTTTTCTGGATATTATGTTGCACCGACGTAACGATGGAACGATCGAAAGGAACTTTTTCCGCAAGGCGACGTGGGTAGGCCAATACACCTACATCCTCAGTTTCGTACGTTTTGATATAAAAGAAATTTGCTTCCTTACCTGTACCACCGTGCCAGAGCCTTCTGCAGCCCCGAGACGCTTAAAATCTAGAAGAAGCTCAATTTTAGCACGCTTCTAGAAAATGGGTGTCTAATCCCTTTGATTAGAAACATTCCATGCTAACCGCTTCTACCAAATCTGTGGCCACAGTACCAAAAATATTGTTTTCCTTACAGTTTCTTTTAAAGGTGATATCGCCTCTAAACTGTGAAGACAAAACATTTCCACTGCAATTACCCAAACTTTTCCAGCGGCCAAGTTGCGACTACTTGCTGAAACAAAACGAATTATTGCTCAGCATTTGAAAGAAAAGCTCCCGGTCCGGTCCGAATTGTTCATCGTATATCAATTTACTAACACACGTGGTGTAAAATACCTTGGACATAAGATCAAGTACTTGTTCAAACGGATTGCTGAGCACTGTCCGGCTTCACTGCAAAAAAGCACAGTGAGACGCATCAGCAGTTCTATACTATAACACCTAGTGGAAAGTGGACCACAAACGTGGATAAAGGAAGCTTTTGAAATCATCTATTCCATCCCAAGACGCTACCCAATAATATAAAGAAGCACCTCTGATAACCGCCGAATCCATAGCAATTACATTTTTGAAACAAGGACTGTTCAAACAACGAATGCTGGTACAAACCCTAATTTTGCCCTGGCCTTGGACAGACTTTATAGCATCGCTTAACTGTTTTTCATTATTATTTTCCTAGCCACGGCCACGTGTGTATGTGGCCTAGCCCAATTGAACAGAGCATTGTTTGATGCTTTATAATGCTTTACTGATTAGCCGCTAATGTACTGCTTCCGTTTTTATGAGTCTATTCAGATAACCCTTATGTTTTATAATTGTAGATGCCTGAATCAGATTATCGAAAAATACTCTTCCCAAGTATTTTACGCTTTGGAATGTCGTGGCACATCTCTCCTGAATCCTGTTGGTTATTTTATATTTTTTCCGCCGGCCAGTTTGACAGATTGGTTTCGCTCTGTTTTGCGAACTCACTAGTTTCCGTAGTTTGGATC